GTCCACTAGCTCAGGCACCCCTATAGTCACCAGAATGGAGATGCGCAGACAGCAAGGGACCAATGAACAGATACCAAAAGAAAAGAATGTCCACACCTTTATCTCAGTGGTCTGTCAGGCGTCCGTGGCTGCTCTGATCCTTCCCTCACTTGGTCTTATATAAGATGGCGGCTTCTGGAGTAGCTAAGCGTCCCAAGCTAGAAAGCAATGGATTTCTTGCTTCTGCCACAAATTCCCCCAGCTGTAAGCCTTCCAACCTTCTAAATATTCCTTTATATGTGGTTCAGAGTTCTGGGACCATCCCCTGAGCCTGCTTGGCTGAGTATTCTGTGTTGTTGCTGGCGGAGCTCCTTACTGCACTTCCACCCGATCCACCATCTCGTTTGTTCTTGAGTCAATCTCTTTTGAGGTATAAAAGGAGAGAAAAGTGAGCTGAGCTCTGAGGGACCTTGTTGTTGTTGTTATGTGCTGTGGAGTTGGTTCTGACTCAAAGCGACCCTGTACAGGGTTTCCGAGGCTGTACATCTCTAAGGGAGCAGAAAGCCTCATATTTCTCCTATGGAACAGCTGGTAGTCTCAAATTGCTGGCCCTGAGGTTAGCAGCCTGAGTCATAACCACTACACTACCAGAGCTCCTTCTGAGTGACCTACTACCACCAAAATACAAGAGCTGGGAGTGGAGTGTGCCTTCTAGAATTGGGGTCCCTGCACTGTGAAGCTTCTAGATCCAGAGTAAAATTGTAGCCAAGACACATAGATAACACCAAAGAATGCTGGACCTACTGATGCTGAAAGGAAATAAGGACCTTTCTCCAGGGCCAGTGCTCTGAACTCAGACTTCTGGCCTCCTAAACTGTGAGAGAATACATTTCTATTTGATAAAGCCATTCAGTTGTGGTATTTCTGTTATAGCAGAACTCGAGAACTAAGATACCATGGAATCAATTCTAACTCAGGGTGACCCCAAGTGTGCAGAATAGAACTGCTCCATAGGTTTCCAGGCTGTGACCTTTCAGAAGTAGTTACCAGGCCTTTCTTCTAAGGTACCTCTGAGTGGAATGAAACCACTAACCTTTATATTTAGTAGTTAAGCACTTAAGGAGCTCTGGTGGTGCAATGGTTAAGCATGCAGCTTCTAGCCAAAAGGCAAGAGGTTTGGCTCCAACTTAGATTTGTTTGTTCTGGCAGTCCATGGTACCTTCAATACTCTTCTACAATACCATAATTCAAATGCATAGATTCTTCTCTGACCTTCCTTATTCATTGTTCAGCTTTTGCATGCATATGAGGCAATTGAAAATACCACGGCTTAGGTCAGGCACACCTTAGTACTCACACTGATACCTTTGCTCTTGAACATTTTAAAGAGGTCCTGTGTAGCAGATTTGCCTAATGCAATACATCATTTGATTTCTTGGCTGCTGCTTCCATGAGTGTCAATTGTGGATCCAAGAAAATAAAGTCTTTGGCAACTTCAATCATTTCTCCTTTATCATGATGTTATTTACTGTTCCTGTGGTGAGGATTTTTGTTTTCTTTACATTGAAGTGCAACCTGTACTGAAGGCTGTGGTCTTCGATCTTCATCAGTATTTTAAGTCCTCTTTACTTTCAGCAAGCAAGGTTGTATCATCTGCATTTCAAACGTTGGAGTTTTCCTCCAATCCTGATGCCATGTTCTTCTTCATATAATCTAGTTTTCAAATTATTTGCTCAGCATACAGACTGAATAAGTATGGTAAAGAATATGACATGGGCTCCCACCTTTCCTGATTTTAAACCATTCAGTATTACCTTGTTCTGGTTGAACAACTGCCTCTTGGTCTTTGTACAGCTTCTTCAGAGCACTATTAAATGTTCTGGAATACCCATTTTTCACAATGTTATCCATAGTTTGTCATGATGCATACAGAAGAAAGCCTTTACAGTCAATAAAGTCTAGTTAATAAAGCTCAAGTAAACATGTTTCTGGTGTTCTATGCTTTCAGGGAAGGTCCATCTGACATCGCTGACGGATTTCCCTAGTTCCATGTCCTCTTCTGAATCCGGCTTGGGTGTCTGGCAGTTCCCTATCAATATACTGTTGCAGCCATTTATAAATTTTCAGCAAAATTTTAATTGCATGAGATATTAATAATATTGTTTGATGGTTTCTGCATTCAGTTGGGTCACATCTCTTTGGAATAGGCAGAAATATTGATCTTTTTTCTCTTTCATTTATTTGGCCAGGTAGCTGTCTTCCAAATTTCTTGGCATAGATTACTGAGGGTCTCCAGTGCTGCATCAATTAGTTGAATGATTTCAATTTGTATTCCGTCAATTACTGGAACCTTGTTTTTTGCCAGTGTCTCAGTGTAGCTTGGACTTCTCCCTTCAGTGCCATCAGTTCTTCATCATATGTACAAACATCCTCTCTCAAAGCCAGGATACTTTTTTTTTTTTTTTTTTTTTTTACTGTTTTATTGTGAATTATGTGATAGTTTACATGGGAGAACATTAGTTTTACATTCATCCTATCCTATATCATTTCGTTGCCATGGTTACAATCCCCTCAAGGCACCATCAACCAAAAGCCAGGATACTTTTTTAAAGCGCAGGTCTACCGTCACTTCCCACCTAACATCCCTCCAGAACTCCCTTCGCTCTCAAGACCATTAATTAGATCCAGGCCACCAGATTCTAGGTAGAGAGGTGAAGAATAGGTCAAGAGAGAAGTATGCAGGTTCCAATGAGCAGAACCTCCCCAGCCTCTAATTCGCGGCTGCCCGGGTCTAGGAACCTTTCTTCTTAGGCCTGGGGAATGCTTTTCCAGCAGTAACTTCCGGCCTCGACGACCCTATTTCCCGTGCTGCACCGCGGCCTTTCTTTCTCTTCCGGTCCCTGGCGTGCCGGGAGTTGCGGGTCTCGGTGAGTTTTGATCGCGCGGTATCCATCGCCATCCACGTCTCATGGGCAACGGAGGGACGGAGGCCTAGGAGAGGTCAGGGGGGCCGGCTGTGTGGCTGTGAGGAACGGAGGATACGGGGCTTGAGGTGGTGCTCGTAGGTTCTCAGTGATGGCTGGAAAGTGGGGGCGGGAGAACTTGGATTTGGGGGAGTAGCTACAAGGTCGGCAGTTAAGACCCACCAGCTGTTCTTGGAAACCCTATACAGGGTCGCTGTATGTAGGGTCGACGGCACACAAGTTATTTGGGGCGCAGCTTTAGCAGAGATGGATGGGTTCTGGGCACCATTGCCTGGATTTAAGAGGCGGGGACCGGCATTTCTGCCGTGCAGCATGAGTTGGGGGTAGGGTGGGGTGCAGCTGTAGATTCAGGCTTCACTCCCATCCGGATCAGGGCAGAGAATGGGCCTAGCCCTCACCTCCACTCTCCTCTAGGTGCAGACATGGCCAAGTCCAAGAACCACACCACGCACAACCAGTGTAAGTTTCCCGGGCTCATTCTCCAGGTTGGGCCCCAGACTCTGGTTAGGAATGGGGGTTTGGTAGGTGAGGTTCATTTACACCGTGAGCCTGGGACAGCGTTTGTTTTCAACCAAGGATTCTTTTGAGATAGCACGTTGCTTTGGTTTCCGTGACAAATGGTATCCTAAATCTTAAGATTTCTCTGGGAAATAACAGTTCTCCCAAACTTGCCAGCTGTGATGTTGGGTGGTTTTATCGAAATCTTTTTATGGTCTAATCCATGTTCTTTCCCATAGCCCGAAAATGGCACAGAAATGGTATCAAGAAACCCCGATCACAACGATATGAGTCTCTCAAGGGGGTGAGTGTGTGTACTGAACTACAGAAATTTGAGCTTTCTCAGTTCCATTTGCACAATCAGGCCTTTGGGGTAACCTTTTCCAGGTCCAGCCTGTGATGATTTTCAGCTGCCTCTCTTCTTACTGGCCTGCCACAATTCCTTTCTGCATTAAGCCAGTTTTTGCCTGTTAATCAAGTCTTGCCAAACTCATAGCAAAACTTTCCCTGTGTCCAGGTGTAATCCTCTGGTCAGCTCTTGATTCTTGAGGGAAATATGTTCATTTCTCTGGCTCAGCCAGAGCTTGTCAAGTGAGTTGGCGGCTTTGTCTGTACTTGATGGGAATATTCCATAATGATCTTGATCTGACCCCATGCTGCACTTGGGGTCAGCTTTGTGTGTTGGGAAATTTCTAAAGATTAGCTGAGGTGGGTGAGTAGAACTGAACTTTGTCCCCGGACTTCACTCCTACCCCCTTGTGGAGTGAATCATTAAGACCTCTTCTCAGTTTCCCTCTGCTAGAAATTGGACACCACCTTCTGTAGAAGGCTCAGGTGATGCCCTGTTGGAGGTGGCATCCCTGACAGGCAGGGTAGCCATTGTTCTTTCCTTATGCACTTGTATTTGACTGTTAAATTTTTCCAGGGTGTGGGGGTGTTGCTCTGAAAATGAACTTATGGCCTTGAGGGGTGCTCTAAAGGTTGAAATAACTTCATTCAGTGATTAGTCCCCAGCAGACTTTGTCAGGGGGCTGATATTCTTTTGGATCGCACTATGGAGTAGGATGCCACCCAACTGCACTTAAACAGCTGCTGGTAATTTCCCTGCCTTCCAGGTGGACCCCAAGTTTCTGAGGAACATGCGCTTTGCCAAGAAACACAACAAGAAGGGCCTGAAGAAGATGCAGGCCAACAACGCCAAGGCCATGGATGCACGTGCCGAGGCTATCAAGGCTCTAATAAAGCCCAAGGAGATCAAGCCTAAGATTCCAAGGGGTGTCAACCGCAAGCTCAGTCGACTGGCCTACATTGCCCATCCCAAGCAGGGGAAGCGTGCTCGGGCACGCATTGCCAAGGGTCTGAGGCTCTGTCGGCCAAAGTCCAAGGCCAGTGCTAAAACTAAGGCTGAAGCTTCAACCAAGGTCTCAACTAAAGCTCCAGTCAAGGCCTTAGCTAAAGCTCTAGCCAAGGCCTCAACTAAAGCCCCAGCCAAGGCCTCAACTAAGGCCCCAGCCAAGGCCTCAACTAAGGCCCCAGCCAAGGCCTCAACTAAAGCCCCAGCCAAGGCCTCAACTCCGGCCCCAGCCAAGGCCTCACCTCAGGCTCCCAAAGGTGCCCAGGCCCCCACAAAGATGGAATAGAGTTCTCCATCTGAGGACAGAGGGATTGGCATGACCCTTTGGGCTACCGTCTGTATGGAGCTGGTGCCCTCCTGTGCTGTTTGTACAAATAAATATGAGGCAGGAGTTGCTGTCTGCTTGTGTCTGTGGGGCTGGGGTTGAGGAAGAGTGGTGCCTCCATTTATGTGGGGAGAAGTGTTTAGTCTTCACTGAATGGATGGTAGGATGTGGGTGGGAATCAGGGTCCTGAAGTGTCAAAGTCTTGGAGCAAGCCTGAAAGGAAGTGGGAAGGACCTACTGAAAATGTCAATACTTTGGCCTAAGGTAATCTAGACAGGGTGATGGTGGCTCTGCTGTACTAGCACTAATGGGCCAGAGCTCTTAATACATGCTGTACGTGAGGGCTGGATCAGTGGTTTCACATGTAGATCTTTGTCTTCTGAGTCGTCTATAGAAGTCACCCTGTGGAACACTTGTTTCTGGTTGTAGTTAATACTCATCAACAGCCATTGATTGTGATATATGATCTGTAATCCAACTTGGAAATGATAGGTTATACCTGGTATGTGGCCCCCTTATGGTAAAGGAGCTCTGGTAGCATCATGGTTGGTTGAGTCAGGCTGCTAGCCTCAAGGTCAATAGTTTGAAACTACCAGCTATTTGAGGGAGAAAGATGAGGCTTTCTGCTCCTGTAAAGATGTACAGCCTCAGAAACCCTGTGCAGGGTGGCTATGAGTTGGAACACTCCACAGCACGTCACCACCTTTCATAGGCACGAAAACCCAGGCAGTCATGTGGGGCCCCATAGTTGAATTTGCCCAACTAGAGTTAAGACTGCAGTCCTGCTAGTTCTTAGCCAAACCTGGCACCCAATAGGTAGCCTGTATCCTGTCTTCAGCAGTTGGAGAAAGAAGGGTCATCAGAGCTGGGTCTGTAAGTGTCTTCCACAGGAGCATGAAGGCTCTTTGCTCTTCGTGGAGCTCCAGTGTGACCAGATGCCAAGATCAAGGACTTGAGCTAGGTGTTGTAAGGTCTCGGTTTCCATGAGTCTGCCCTGTGCAAAGGAAGCTGCCCAACTGTCCAGGTAACGAATGCTTGAGTCTTGGTCTCCATCACCAAGCTTGTAACTTGGGGCAAGGTACTGTTCTAGCTGAGCATCAGTTGCTCTCTAAATTGGAGCATATAATGGCATGCACCTGTGTTAATGTGGAGCTGATGTGAGGGTTCAAGGCAGCCGGTGAAAGGTCAGTGTGTGGTACTGTAGGATAATGCATTAGACCGCAAGGTCAGCAGTTCAAACCAACTGCTCCTTGGAAACCCTATACATAGGAAAACCTATAGGATTGCTGTGTGTTGGAACTGACTTAATGGTAACCATGCAGACCACAGATCTAGTCCCAGCATAACACTACTCCCAACACCTGGTGTGGCAATGCAGGATAATGCACTGCACTGCAATGTCAGTTTGAACCACAAGGTTGGTTCAAACCCACCAGCCAGCAGCTCCTGTGAGTTGAAACTGGCTCAGTGGCACTTAACTCCCAATACCAGAGCAGGAGTTACATCTTCCTATTAGCCTTGGGTTTGACAAATGCCAGCTGTCATGCTTGCAAGCAGCCCTGACATCTGGTTCTGGTACCCTCAGGTTGCCGAATGTGCATCTCAAAGCCAGAAGTGGGTCCCTGAGGGCCTTGGTGCCTTCTCACAGGTCAGAAAGCCATTAAGAACAGGAATGGGGGCCCTTGTAGCTGGGCTCCGCCTCTTCACCTGTGAAATGGGCGTGGTAAACACCATCTCCCCAGAGATACAAGTCAGCGCCTCCCTGCACACTACTTTATTGTTAGGTGGGAGATGAAGTAGATCTTTGGCCCTGGTGTGGATAGAAGCTCCAGAGGCAGAGGTGAGGAGCTTGGGGTTCATCTGTCGCAGGGCAAGACGGGCACACTGGCCAGGGCAGGCAGCAGATGAGTATAAATGTCGACCCCACGGAGGAACACAGCTTCATGCAGCCGTTCGTCATGGTCATGCAGCAGCACAGGTGTGTTGTTCATGGGCGAGAAGCCCAGGGCAGGAACCCCCACCTGAATTGGGAAGAGAAGGAGCCATTAGGGGGCAGACCCACATCCAGGCTCAGCCCACTGCTCAGCCCACTGCCATGCTCACCGCTCGGAGATAGCGGCTGTCAGTGGCAGCAGGGAAGATCTGGGGCTCCAGGGTGAGGTTCCTGCAGAAGGAAAAGCCTGGTGAAGGTGGGAAGGGAGAGGCAAAGCAGGAAGGGGAGAACAAGGAAGACCTGGAGAGGGTGGGTAGGGAGGACACAGGCTTGTCAGTGATCTCACATGTCCTTGCAGACCCCACTAAAGGCTGCCCACCAGGGATCTGAATTGTCAGTACATGTCACTCGGGGCTCTGTCCATTTCTGTGGGGGAGAAGAAGGATGGCAGGATTAGAATAGGAGCAAGGGCATCTTGCCCTATTCCTCGCAGGGTAGGCTGTGCCTGACAGAGGGCATGTGCCCACCCCAACCCACCTAACCTCATAGGTCGTTAGCCAGTCCAGCCAGGCCCTCTTTCAGTCCCTTAAAGGTTCTAGGCCTGGGACCTTCTCATGCCCACCATCTATTTCCTATCCATCCTTCAGATCCTACCTCTTCCTCTCAAGACGGCACTACACCCTGAGGCCATATACTTCAATCACAGACTCTCAGAGTGGAGTCCCACCTTCCCAGGGCCACGTGTGTTCACTGTAATATTATTTTTAAGCATTTCACTTCAGTCTATTACCCCTTTTCAGGTTGTAAGGACTACAAAGGAAGAACTGTGTTGAATTTTACCCTCCCCAGTATTTCTGAGTACCCAACGTAGCCTCCATAGCTAGTAATGTTTGTAAGGTGAATACAATGTGTCTTCTGTAGTTAAATGCCTAGTCGCAATCAGACATGCAATCACACACTCCTACAGTGTCACACATGTGGCAAGCCCAGCCTCCGTTCCCAGTTTTCTATCCCAGATCCTAAGTTGATACCTGAGCAAACTCGAAAGTGACCCCTTCGCCAGCTGCCTGGCACCAGTTCTGCAGCTGTTCCTCAAAAGCCTAAGAGAAGGGGGATGAGCAGACCCCTTAGACTCTCCCTGAGACTCTAGGACAGCATTGAGGATGGGCATCCCTCCTCCAAACCCAGGTGGAGGTGGCACCTTCAAGTCTACATCAGGTGCTACTCGGAAGTCAAAGCTGGCACTCATGGTGGAAGGCACCACGTTGTAGGCGACTCCACCTTCTAGCTTGGTCAGGTTCACAGAGGTCACGGCCCCCAGCTTGAGGTGGGGATTTGACTGCAGCCTTTTGAGGGTGGGGGTGGGGCAGCAAGGAGCAACAGTTGAAGGGGGTTTAACCCCTTCTGCACAGCCTCCTAGAGCCCCCCGCCTTTCGAGGGCTACCTCACCTCTGCCTCTCCTTCTCCCTGAAGGCCAGGATCGAGCTCACAACCTTGTGCTGGGAAAATGTGAGATGCAATGTGAGAATGGTCCCAGGATAAAGCCTCCCAAACCGCCAACGTCCCAACCAGTGTGCCATTCACCAGCTTCTCTGCTGCTGTGTCCTCAATGAAGCGTGAGCCATGGCCGGGCTTCCCAGTGCTTGTGATTCGAACCCCTGGAGAGACGCATGGGGAGTATCTTCAACATGGAAGGGACTGAAAAGGCAGAGCAGCCCTGGGGTGGGCCCAGAGCTCCCACTCATCCCAAGCTCCCCTGGTGGGGCCCATGGCACAGAGCTAGATTCTGCCCTCAGAAGCTTTTGGCCAAGGAAATGGCAGAAGCCAGACTGGAAGAAGTTGGAAGACAGAGGCCTTGGGTTCAAGGTCTATTCAGGCCCCAACTTGCTGTATGACCCTTAGCAGGCCTAACTGCCCATCTGTACAGTGACCACCTCCCATCCCCCCAACCTGCCGTGGCCATACTTACACCAAGGGCTCCGCTCACTATAAAAGACAGTGAAGGCATCGGTGGGGTTGGCCAGACCTGGAGTGAGCAAAAGGAGTCAGAGGGTAGATGGGCCCAGAACCCACTGTCAACCTCCCAAGCTCCTCTCTGAGTGCTTAGCAGCCTGCCACCCTGCCCACCCTCATCCAAGGCAAAGCCAGCCTTCAGGGACTGAAACTCGGGCCGCTTCACAAACAGCTCCATGCCTCGGTGACCCCCGATCTCCTCATCTGTAAAAGTGGCATAATTATGAGATGAGGGGGATGCCCCCAATACACCCTCCTCCTCCCAGCAGGTATCCTTACTTGAGTTACTCCTACCTGGAACAAATGTCATATGGATAGTTCTGGGGAAACGGTGGCCCTCAGCCTTCAGTCTCCTCACAGCCTCCAGGTACCTGAGGGGCAGTGAGAAGGCACAGAGCCAGGTGCTGGGGGAGCCAGCCAGGCGAGAAGAGATGACAGGAAGGAGTCCAGAGTCCTGGGCCTAGCTCCGTCACAGCCTGGCAGGGGCCTCTGGAAGTCCCTGCCCTACTCCGGGCCTCTCCCTATCCATGCAATGGCCATAGCAGTAACTCCTATCTACAGTAAAGATTCAAGTTGTTCCGTGGCCTTGGGATTCTCCAACCAAAGCCCAGTTAATCCACTGGGCTGGCAGGGACATTGTGGAGGACTGGGGACAGAGGATACTCACTGGATGCTAACACACTTCATGTCCTGGGCGCCCCGAGCGTAGATGTAGCCCTCAGTGTCCTTGAAGGCCTCAAAGGGGTCATGGCTCCAGTGCTCCTGGGTGTAGGATGGGGAGAGAGGTCCACATACTAAATTTAGTCATTCATTAATTCATTCTGGCCAACTATGGCTCTGCCCTAGACTACCATCAAGTTGGGTGATGAGCAGAGTGGTGGTGGAGACAAAGGAGGACTGAAGAAGGTAACTGATTGCCACTCCCTATCTCTGCCTTTCCTCCCCCCAACCTGGGCAGTGAATCTTTGCTGAACAGAGGCTCTAGAATGAAGTAATGCCATGAATGTGGAGAGTCAGGACCAGGACCAGTACAAACCAGATCCATTTCCAATGTGTCTCTCTAAGTCAAATTTGTATGTAAGTCAGAATAGGTGCATATGGTTGTTACTGTTAAGTGCCATCAAGTTGGTTCTGACTTAGCGACCCCATATAGGGTTTCTGAGGAGCAGATGTTGAGTTTGAACTGCCGACCTTACAGCTGAAACCAACTTTGCGTTCTAGTACTTATCCTAAAGTGACACACCAGGACTCCTATATGTTTCTTAGCCTTACTTTAGTACAAGAAGGAGCCCTGGTGGCAGAGTGGGTTAAGCAGTGGTCTGTTAACCTAAAGGTCGGAGGTTCAAATCCACCACTGCTTCATGCGCAAAAGATAGGCAGTCTGTTTCTATACAGATTTAGAGCATCAGAAACTTTGTGGAGCAGTTCCACCCTGTCCTATCAGGTCACTAAAGTCAGAATTGATGGCAGTGGGTTTGGTTTGAAGGCTTTTCAATGATTCTAAAGGTGCACATGCAACAAGTCAAGGTGACAGGGATGAAAAATTTGTTGCAAGTGAGTTTGGTTCAATTGTTTCAACGTGAGGGCAAATGGACACAACAATTACAAGGTGTGCAGAATGTTCATAACTCCCAAGTTCCCTGAAGGCAGGCAGCCATCTCTGTGCCCGCTCCCCACACCCCAACCAATACATATACCTTGAAGACAGGCACCACATCCGTGTGGGAGTTAAGCAGGAGGGAAGAGAGCATGGGGTTGGTGCCTGGCCAGGTCAGTACAGTTACCACACGGCCAGGTGCCACCTGGAAGGGGTGATGAGGGGGATGGGTCAGCATAGGATGAGGAGGTCCCAGAACCCCAGCTCTTCTCTCAGTACCCCAGGCTCACCTCCACTTTCTGACAACCCAGGCCCAGCTGAAGTGCTCTCTCCTCAAGGAAGGCCACGGCAGCCCCTGGGGGCACAGAGAGTCTTGAAGGGGCTGGGGCTGTTTCTGCCCACACACAGCCTCAAGTGGCCCAGACACAGATGAGGGGTATACCCAGAGACAGAACCAGACCCAGAGCTCTGTTGCTGCCTCCCCAGCACAATCCTACAGTAGTCACTTGCATTTCTCTCCCAAAGAAGGTATTTTGGCCAGTTAGTCTCAGAAACCCTCTCTGGGGTTGATATGAGTTGGTTAGTAACACTTCAGGTCCTTGGCTGTATACTCGGCTGCTAACCTAAAGGTTGGTAGTTTAAACCCATCCAGAGATGCTGTAGAAGAAAAAGGCCTAAAAGATGTGATGACCTGCTTCTGAAAGGTCATAACTTTGAAAATGCTGTGGGGCAGTTCTCTGCGCATACAGGGTTGCCATAAGTGGGAATCAACTCAATGGCAATCCGCTTAGCAACCTTTGTGGAAGGGTTGGAAGCAGTTGTTATAATCTTCCTTAAAGATGGGGACACTGCCGCACAGAAACAGAAGCAGATTTCAGCTGGGAAATTAGGGATTTGGATTCATGTACAAAATTTCTAATCCCCCTTAGGTCTGTGGTCTTTGTCCTAGTAGAGTTTTTGAATCCTGGTGAACCCCAAGGTTGGTAGTTCAAACCCACCAAATGTTCCTCAGAAACCCCATGCAGGGTTGCTATGAGTCAGAACCGACACAATGGCACTTAAAACCTGTAGACTTTGTGGGGTCTCTCCTCTTGTGAATGCCTCAGTTTCTCCATGTGGGGAATGAGGCAAAGTTCCTTAACTAGCTGCCAAGAGTAACTTCCGGAGCAGCCCAGCTTCTAGAGAATGGGTTACTCCACAGCCTGGGAACTGCCCCGTCTACTGGCCTACAGAGTGACTAGAGGGGTTGAGGAAACAGGGCAGCTCGGGGACTCACCTGGGTGACTGGGGTTGGAGACTGGTTTGGAGCAAAAATCCCACCCCGTAATCCTCCATCAAAGCCCCTGGAATCTTGGCATTCCTACCATAGTCAGGCTCAGGCTGCACAGTGCGGATGCGCAGGTAGAGGCGGAAGAGTGTCACGGACGGGTGCTCACCCTCTGGACCCTTGTTGGCCATGGTGCTGTGCCTGCAGAGTTGGAGGCAAAGTGAGTAGCTGAAGACCCCTCACAGCTGCACCCTCACGGGCCCATCTGCACCTGATCCCCTCCCCAGGGCGAGTTTCTCCTTGTGTCCTACAGGATTGGGGCACTCTGAAAAGGAGCTGTGGTCACCCAGTAGCTATGGAGCACCCTCTCTGTTCCAGGCCCTATGCTGGCTGCTTTCAACACATTTCCTTATTTAATCCCTTAAAGAGCCCCCAAGAAGTTCCTGCCTCCACCCACTGTACAGAGAGGAGAGTGCAGAAGCTCAGGGACAGCGGCCCTCTCAAAATATTTCCCGGCTTTTATGCCAGGGAGCCCCAGATCCCTCTATTCTTTTCAGGGTTCACCTTGCTGTCTTGGTCCTAAACCTACTCTTGCTTTTCAGCGCCCACCCCGGACTGTGACCGACCGGGACTCCAGGTACTACGAGGTCATGGGCTCAGAACCGCCCCGGCTCCGCCCCACCACGTGGCTGGACCCGGGGCGTGGAGTGAGGATTGAGAGCAGGTGCTGTTCCGGTTCCAGGAGCCGCGTTAACACTGCGCCTAAACTTCCGACCCCACCCGTCCCGGGTTCCGGCGCCAAGAGGGTCACCAGAGGCTCGGAGCCTCAGCCTTCAGCTCTGCCCAAAGCTTGAATGCGAGTTCAGGGCTGGCCCCGCCCTCGGGTTGGGCAGCGGACTCCTGACCCCAGAAGGCTCCTCCCCCTGCAGTGTCTGGATGAGGCCAGCAGAGAGGAAGGCAGGAGCTGATGCTAGAAATCCCAGCAGTCGCCTAGAGCCCTATTTCGCTCTAAAGATTCAGCGCTGCTCAAACCAGCTCTTGCCTATCTCTTACCTCCTTCGACCTCAATAAACTCCGCTCCTCGGCCCTCTTTGGGGTGAGGTTACTGACAGGTTCTGTCTCTTCAAGAATGAGCTCCAGGAGGCAAGTCTATGTACTCACCCACCGGCTTCTTGCCCCCAGCCTTGTACAGTACTGGCGCCGGGACAACATACCGGGAATAGAGAATAAATGGACAAATGAGAGCATGTATGACTGTGTGTATGGTCGTGTGAACGTGCCACTCACTGTGTGTACAAACTACTGCTTCAGCAGGTATGACCTTGTGTGACAATTCATGAGATGGTGGGTGTGTCATGGTGAAGCGATGTCATGCAGACTCTGTATGACAGTGTGGGGGGGGGGCGGGGATGCAGCGTGAAAGCATACCGGTGGCACAGCTCACCAGGCTTTGGACTCTTCAACAGCCACATGAGGTGGGGGGCAGGTGGCGGATGGGTAAACAGAGTTACCAGTGTACCTCTGGTTACCCGCTTGTGAGTCTGGCTGCCCTTTGTACCCTTAGCCAGTTCTGCCCACTGCTCCAGAAGCTGAGTCAGCTTGGAGAGGGTTGGAGATGGAGGACTTCAACCTCTGGGTTCAGAGGGGGCAGGATGTGAGGTCAAAGAGGGGGCCATCTCAAAGCTGATGGGATTTGAGTCTAGGTGGCTCACCCACCCACACGCATGGGGCTTGGTGGTTCATTGACAATGCTGTTAATTCTTAAGCCACATCCCTCCCCCACCTCTACATACCTTGTTCACTTCAGCCAAAGGTCCTGCACTACTCAGTTCAGCTGCCTAGACCCTGAATTTCTCACCCTTCTCAGTTACCAGACAGCATCAGCAACACCCCCACCCCAAACCCCTCAGCCTTGTGTGGCCAAATACTCAACTCAACCAAGTTCAGTCTACAGATAAGGAGACTGAGGCACAGACTGGTGAGAGCACACAGATAAGAAATGGCCCATGATCTTAGTCTTCCAGGTAGCTGGAGCATCCTTTCCAGTTCACAGTCCCAAGGGCCAGACTTGCCTCCCACCCCATCTATACCATACCAAGAAAAGGGACCAGTCACTCCTCAGGCAAGACAAATAACTTTTTTATTGTGCCTGTGAGATGAAGTGAGAGGTTCTGACCAGGCTTGGCACCCTGGCATCGGCCAATTGGTGAGTTCAAGGCAGATGGTCAAGGAAGGCAAGGAGGACAAGGTGGAAGTCTTGTGGTTTATGGAGGTAGCAGGCATGGCCCGCATTGCGTAGCTTCACCACAGAGTGGTTGGGCAGGTGTCGAAGCTGCCTCAGTGACTCCCGTGCCAGAATGTGGTCCAGCTCCCCATATAAGATGAGGGTTGGGGTCTGTAGGGCAGAACAAGGGGCTGTGACCTTAGAACCTAAAGGGGACCTGATTCTCAAGCAACCTCCTTGGGAAGACCTCTCCAAACACCCACTTCTATCCAAAAGCACGTCACGTCTCCTCCAAGTAACACCTGAGCCCATCCCCTTCTCCCCCATGACCCAAGCTCCCAGTACCTTCACTGCCCAGTACTGCTCCTGGGTATAGTTCTGGGTGGAGGTGGGTGCAATAGGCACAAATCCATGCAGCTGCTGATGGTCTCGCATCAGGAAGGGCAGGGCATAGTGGCCACTCAACGAGGGGCTCACCAACACGGCATTGTGCACTTTCAGGTCCCGTAGCACCCGCTGCAGCAGCTCTGCCCGCCCTGCTTCTGTGCGGGTTTCTTCTGAAGGTGCTGAGTTCCCAAAACCTGGGGACAGCAGAAGGTACCCAAAACAAAGACTGATCATGCCCAGTGCTGTGTAAGATGTGGAGAAATGGACACTGTCATACATCACTGATGAAGAAATCGGTCATCTTTATCAAGGTAAGGTAATATTTGTCAAAATTCAAAAATGAGTGTCCTTTGCAATATTTCACATAGGATCCTACTTATGTGAAATATGCAGAACAGGCAAAATACATAGAGCATAAAGAATATTAGTGGCTACTAGGGATTAAATAAGGGTGGATTCCTGGTGTGAGGCTGTAGGATCAGCACTGGACTGTGAACCACAAGGTCAGCAGTTCAAACCCACCAGGTGCTCCTTGGAAATCCTATACAGGGTTGCTATGAGTTGGAACCGACTCAACGGCACTTAACAGCAACAACAAGGGACTAAGGGGAAGGGAGAACAAGGTGTTATTGCTTAATGGGTACAGAGTTTCTCTTGGGGGTTAAAGGTTTTGGAAATAAATATGAGAGGGCTTAAAAAAAAGTTTGTGGAAAAATGGAATGAAAAGATAATGGAATTTTTTCTATGAACTTTTGAAGACCCTTATTGTGGTGATGTTTGTACAGTATTGTGAATATAATCAGTGTCATTGAATTGTACATTTAAAAATGGTTAAGAAGGCAAATTTTATGTTATATCTATTTTACCACAGTAAATGGTTTAAAAATATTTAAAAAGTGTCCTCTAAACCATCCGTTGTTTTTGTAGCTACCCTAGAGAAATATTTTTCCTGATCTTATAGAAGTTCTTTGCTGATAACCATTTTTGTTTTTATTTATTGACATTAACTATATATAGATGAGAACTGGCTAATATCACTTGTTACTACTATGTCTTCAACTTTCTTCCTAGTTATTAGTGTGTTTCTTTTTAAAAAAAAAAAATTGTTGTTATTGTTGAGAATATACACAGCAGAACAGACACCAATTCAATGATTTCTCCATGTACAATTCAGAGACACTGTTTACATTCTTCAAGTGTGCAACCATGCTCACCCTCCTTTTCTGAACTGTTCCACTCCATTTACATAAACTCACTGTCCTCTAAGCTTCCTATCTAACCTGACGAGTTCTAGTTGTCAGTGTGATCCCATATGGATAGTTCTTTAAGAGAGTACAATGCTCAAGGCAGACATTCTTGACTAATAAAGTTGAAGATTTCAGGATATACTTTTGGATTAAGGGTTAAAGAGTATTCTCACCTAGAGAAAATCTTGCTTATGTGCTCAAAAGAAGCATGTCCAAAGACACTTCAGCTAACATTTTAATTTTGTTGTTGTTACTATCACTGAGTCAATTCTGATTCATACATAGCAACCCTGTATAGGGTTTTTGAGGAGTAGCTGATGGGTTTGAACCGCACACTTTGTGATTAGCAGTCCAGTACTTTTCCTACAGCACTACACCAGGACTACTGAAACTTCTAAAACAACCTACCAGATCCACCAGGGGAGGAACACCCTAAGAAACCTGTCTCTCCCTCCTATAGCAATGCTGCAGAGTTAATGAAAGCGTGAGGTTTGTAGGGACTACCATGATCCACAAGATCAGTTCAGATCCACCAGCTGCTTTATGGGAGAAAAACTAGGCTTTGTGATCCAGTAATGATTTGGATATGTTATACGCGATCACTATGAGTCCGTATTGACTCGATGGCAATGAGTTTGGGTTGGGTCTTTTTGAGCCATAAGATATGGGCTAGGGGAAGAGAACCAAGCTGCAGATGAATTTGCTTAGTAGGACCCAGTCATGTTTATAATGCATGCTACAATCCTGCATATTGTCTGTTCTCTCTGTGTGTGGAAACGCCCTGAAGAGAGTCTGGCAGCCTTCCAAACTGCTTAGAGAAGGGAGAGGGAGAGAAATGCGGTATGAGTCTCTGAAGGCTTTGAGGTGATTTGATTTTTAAATAGCATTATTTTTTAAAGACAAGAATGTTAGCAATTTGTGTAGCTAAAAAAGTAAAAAGCTACAAGGTTTGTCACAAAAAATAGAGCCACCCATGCAGTCTCATATTTCTATTTGGTGACAGGCAAAAATTCCCACAATAGATGTCATGGTAGAAAATAAGGACAGAAATCCCAAAGCAGAGGAAAAAAAAAAAAAAAGAAAGTAAGGACAGAGACCTTCCCATGACAATAAAAGCACAAGCAGCAAAAGATAAAACAGATAAACAGGATCTTACAAAACAGAATACTTTCATTCATCAAAGGTTTTTTATCAACAAAGTAAAAAGACAATCTACAGACTGGAAGAAATTTGGTGGAGAACGATCTATTTGATAAGGGTCTAATATCCAAAATATAGAAAAAAAAAAACCAACTTCTTCATCTAACAAGAAAAAGACAAACAACCCAATTTTAAAACTGGGCAAAGGATCTGAACAGACATTTTACTAACAAGGATATTCAAATGATCAAGAAACACATGAAAAGATGCTCAATGTCATTAGTCATTAAGGAGATGCAAATCAAAACCACAGCTATATACTGCCTCACTCTCATTAGCATGGCAATGATAAAAAGAAAAAGAAAACAGGTGTTGGAGAAACTGAAAATCCTCATTCTTTGCTTGTTGTGGTTGTTAAGTGCTGTCGAGTTGGTTCCAACTCATAGCTACCCTATAGATGGTTTCTGAGGAGTGGCTGGTGGGTTTGAACCACCACTTTGTGTTCCAAATTGACCTTACGGTCTAGTGCTTATCCTACAGTGCCACACCAGTACTCCCACTCTTTGTTAATGAGGATATAAAATGGTACAATCAATGTAGAATAAAGTTTGGTGGTTCCTCAAAAAGTTGAAAATACCATATGTGAAAGCAAGAATGCAAGCAGAAAACCATCCGCAATGTAAATTGCAACATTTTCTACAACAGCCCAGAGTTGGAAACAGCTGAAGTATGCATCAGCAGATGAATGGCTAAACAGTTGACTATTACTAGATCATAAAGACAAATGAAATCCTGATGGAATTCCAATACATGGATAAACCTTGAAAACCTCACGCTGAGTGAAATTAATAATTCATAACAAGACAAAGACTGTAGGATTTCACATATTATGAAAAAAGCAAAAATTAGAAACCAAAGATTATTAATGGTTACCAAGGGTAAAAGAGCCAGTTTTTCCTTAGTGGATAGTGAGTTTAGGTTAATGATGGTGGAAAGATTTGGAAAAGGATATTAAGAACGGGGGTCCTGGTGTGGCACTATGGGGTAAAGCACTGGACCTCAGTGTCAGTTTAAACTACAAGGTCAGTGGTTCAAACTCACCAGCTGTTCCTTGGAAACCCTATACAGGGTCACTATGAGTTGGAACCAACTCAATGGCACTTAACAACAACAACAAAACTCAGATTGGTTGTACAACTTGAAGGATATCATCAATGCCATGTAGAAATTGAATTGGTAAATGTTTTGTTGTGTATATTTTCACAATAGAAAAACAACCCCAAACACAGACTTATGATGTTGTCATCTTGTGTTGTGACTTGCTATCTCTTATCCAGACACAGGGACAGAGATGCCCTCCGTGTCCCCCTACCACTCCATATATACCTTAGTGCTTTCCTGTCCCTCCAATTCCCCCATCTGAGAAGCTGTCCCCTTGTTCCTGCTACACTCTGCCTCTCTGGGCCCAAGGATAGAGGGGTTTTTTTTTACCTGGGAGGTCAATGGCCACGGCGCGGTAGCCCCTCTGAGACAGTAGCTGCAGTGTGCCCAGCTGCTCCCATGTGTGCGAGTTAAAGGCTTTTCCATGGAGCAGCACCACTTCCACCCTGCTGACAGACAGGGAAATGTGCATCCTGAGGTCCTGAGACAGGCCACCTTTTCTTCTTCAGAGACTTCTCCCATAACAATCCCAGGCTGTGAGCATACGAGTCATGCTAGAGTCCCACACAGGCACCCACGGGTCAGCACCCACCTGCGAGCCTGGGGCAGCGGAAGCACCTCACGGTAAAAGATGGGACAGTTGCCAGGGGTGAGACCAGCCAGGATTGTGACATTGGTGTCTCCCCAGAGCCACGAAGTCTGCTCAGGGGGTCCCGGCAGCCCCACATACAGCAACAGGATAAGCAACAGACCCAGGCCCAGCAGGACCACCTGGGACCGGCTCATGGAGATTTGTACCACAGTCTGGAGGAAGAGAGGAGAGGAAGAAGAGAGTGGAGCTGAGCCCCCACAAGGGTCCCTGGACTCCCCCTCAAGCCCTATCTCAAAGCACTCAGCAGAGACAGAGCTCCAGTCTTTGCCACCTTCCCTGATCTGGACATGAGTCTAGGGATTCAGGCTCCACATGTCAGGAAAGGGCTCAAATGCCCAACAGTGAAAAGACAAATCTGAAAAGTCCCCCAGCACATGGCAGGCTCACTGACCACCATCATCACTGCTAAAACCACTTCCAATCACTGAATGCTTATGATAGCCAGGCCCTCTCATTGGCCCTTCACAGGTGCCTAGGAAACAGGTACGATTCTGTGTCTTTTATAAATGAGGAAACGAGGCATAAGAGGCAAATTGTCTTGCCAAAAGTAGAGACTGCTTGCCAAGGAGGAAATCAGGAGTTGAGATGTGATGGACAAACTAGAGCCTTCCTGGTGGACAAAGTGGCAAACACTGTCAAAGAAGAGTCTATGTGCAGAGGATGACCTCCGGAAGGAGTGTTTGGAAATGTTTCTTTTTATTACACTGGATATCATATTGCTAAAATCAGCATGTGTTTTATAATCAAGAGGAAATATGTTATGTTCTCCCATTGTTGTTGCTAAGTGCCTTCACGTAGGTGCCAACTCAAGAGTGACCTTATATAGGGTTTCTGAGGAGTAGGTGGTGGGATTGAACTGCCAACCTTGTGGTTAGCAGTTCAGTGCTTATCCTACAGCACCACACCAGAACTCCTTAGACATTATTTAATGGGAGGAGGCTCACGAAGAATATTGGAAAGAGGAAATGCTGAGTCAAGGAGGGGTAAGAGACAAGAAGAAACGGAAAGAGCAGTAGCAAAGTTGGAGCACTGAGCCCCTTCAGCGTACCCCTAGCTTAACGGCAAATGATTTGCTTCACAGAGTCCTCTAGTCCTGTCCTTTTCCAGTCCAGAGGATACACCTCAACACTGAGGACCCAGACAGAACACAGATTCCAGGCTTTGAGATCGGGTTCTGCCACTTCCTGATCATGTGTCAGTTTGTCAGTAAAATGGGAAGAAAGATAACTGTGTGGCTGATCTCTTAAATTTCCTGAGAGATTTCAACAAGACAATGGACTTGAACCTAAGGCTGTCCCTGTCATTATTTCTTGGGCTTAGGATGACCACTCCTGCCTTGTTCCTGTTGTTGCTAGTGTCATTGAGTCGATTCCGACTCATAGTGACCGTTCATAGGTTTTCTGAATTTGTAAATCTTTAAGGGAGGAGAAAGGCTCGTCTTGTTCAGAGGAAGGCTGGTGGGTTTGAAATGCTGACTTTGTGGTTGACAGTTCAGTAAAGTCATCTTTACTGTAGTACCAGGTGTGTGCCGGCCCCTATTTAGGAGTTATAAACTACAGAATCACCACCTCAGTCGCCCCCCCACACACACCCCAGTTTCTCAGGGAACACTTTGGAGACGTTTCTTAGTCCCCACCCTCAGGCTTAGTCCCCACCCTCAGGAATTGGGAGGAGGAAGACTCCACTCTTTTCCCATTTACAGCCTTGGACACACACTTTCAATGGCACTATATCAGGTTCCTACCAGTCATAACATGCGCTATACCTCTACTGGACAGGGTCCTCCTAGAGCCAGCCTCAGGCTTTGACTGTTGCCTTGGCAACTCAGGTTGTGGTAACACTAGATCTCCCAGGTCTTATCAGGTAGTTGGCAGCTCTGTCTGCTTTACAGACCTGCATGACAGGCTAGATACTAGGTCCATATCGAAACACAGGTGTACACAAGTGCACAGACATGGAATCTGCACCCACACACTTTTCTTTTGCAGACTTATTCCCTATGTGTACATGTAGATTCCATGCACACACACTGACCGTATACAATGGATCCCTGGCACATGTTGTTTTTAAGCATCATCGAGTCGGTTCCGACTCATAGAGACCTTGCATAGGGTTTCTGAGGAGCGGCTGGTGACCTTGAATCAGTCCAGTGCACTAACCGCAGCACCACACCAGGACTCCATATAATAGATACGTATCCTCAAAATCATACACACACAGTTTCAGGCATCAGGAAGGGTGACAGAAAAACGGACACACACTATCAAAATCACACGCAGTCCCTCAGAGTTACTCACACTCGGGCATACACACAACCATCAAATTATAACATACACACACATGCACAAGCAGACGGACTCTCGGAAATACAGGCACACTAGTAGATACGCACACCTTTTAAATCACATACACAGACGCACGCAGGCAGATGGACGGACGGAAGCACACACTCATCCAACATAAGCATACAGGAACATACAGATACAAACACTCCCAAGAGCACTCCCAGGCACAGCACACTAACAGGCGTGCACTCGCCGCGTCAGCACCAGCACCACCCGCGGAACTCTGCCCTTGGGTGCCGGGCCGGGGGCGTGGCAAGGATGGCCTGCCTCCGAGCACTCAGCCAGCCTCCCTTGGGGGACACTCACCCGACCGACCGGGATGACCGGGCCTACCAACGCAGAGCGGGCCCCGCCCACACGAAACCAGCAACCAAACAGCGCCGCAACCATGGAACTGTTTTAGTGGCTAGGTGGGTGCGGAAAGCAAGGCACCGCCTAGCGCGAGGGCCACAGAGGTGCGCCTGCGCAGTCGGCAGTCACAAACTCCCCCGCCCCCAGTTACCAAGTAACGGTGACGGTGTTGGAGAAGGAACAGGGGGCGGTGCCGGGTACCGAGCTTGGTACCGAGGCCTGCTCCTGTGCAAAATTTTCCGAAATTGCCCTGAGAACTTGTGTAGAGCCAGCTGACTTGTTCCCACCGAAACGTCTTCACCCTCACTCTTATCACACTCTCAGGAATTCTGGGTCTCGACGGCACTTAACAACAACAACAAGAGTGGCACTGTAGAATAAGCACTGGACTGCTAACCTCAAAGGTGGTGGCGGTTCAAACCCACCAGCCACTCCTCGGAAACCCTATAGAGTCTCCATGAGTCGAAACTGACTGGAGAGCACTTAACAACAACAATCTGGCATTCTCATTTCTCTCCTCTGTACAATGGGGTTAAGTATAAGACCCATTTGCAACACTGTTGTAAGGACTTAAGAACCGTTCAAGGCATAGAACAGTGCCTGGTGCGGAGGCCGAGCCGCAAAAATGCCAGATGTTATGATTGTGCTATGCAGCAATTCCAGATCTTAGGCCAAATCACTTTTCTCACACTTACACTCCACACACACATTAGGTCAAGCCTGCGAAGGTCTCTGGAGTCCTTTACATCTCAGCACCGATCCTGGTTGTCTGTCCTCAGCCTGGAGGCTCTCCGTGGCACCCAGAGGCTTCTGGGGCATACTGGGTCCATTACTCGTTAACATCCCACGAAATGGGTAACAGCATAATGTGTTGGACTGCAAGGTCAGTTTAAGCCACAAGGTCCGCGGTTCAAACCCACCAGCCGCACCTCAGAAACCCTATACAGGGTCGCTATGAGTTGAAACGGACCCACGGCAGTTAACAGTAACAACAGACGAGAAAACAGGCTTATTTGGAAAAATGATCAAGGTTGCCTGACTTGCCATTGTCAGAGCCTCGCATTAATCAAGCCTGTTCAACCCTGCAGTGCCCAGTGACAACTCTGGGTGCTTCTGGCTGGGGAGGAAGGAGCAGGGATGTGACTGGAAGCACAATGGTGCAGCACCAAAAGAACCCTTCTCAAGCTGAACCATGTATGTGCACGTGGGGCAGGCGGCAGAGGGTCTCAGGGCTGAGCCAATGTCCATGCTTAGGTCACGTGGGACCTAAAGGTTTGCGGAAACGGCGGCTGCAATCAGAAAGTGTGGCTCTAGCTGTGCCACCAGAGGGCGCCCCGTCGCGCGCCTCCGCCCCGCCCCGTCGCTGCTTCTCCGACCCGGGCGCGATCCGCCTCCCGCACTTGGCCGCCTGGAGTCTACGAGAGTGCACACTGCTCCCCAGGTACTATCTCTGCACCCTAAATCCTCCCTTTTCTCTCTCCAGTCAGCAGCCACCCCGCCTACCCCAAATTTCACTCTTTCATATCTACAAAGCCCAGGTTTCCGCCCTCGGGAGCGTCTATCCCTACCGGTGCACTCTACCAGGCCTAGAGAGCTGGAACTGTTGTCTGAAACGGGGGCCAAGCGAGTGTGAGGCCACCCGTGACCGCGTTCCAGAGGGTAGCACACTGAGCAGTGCATCTATTGCAGGCCGACTCCTTGGTTCCGCCTCTGGAAAATGGGCTTTTCACACCAAGTTTAGGCATGCTCCAAGCTCAGGAGCCAACCCACACCAATAGCAGTGCCTTGGAGCATGAGACTGACAAACAAAATAGTCAGCTACCAGAGATTGATTTGAGCATTTACTAAGTATGAGGCACTGTGCTGTGATTTTTACATGCGTGGCGTTTCATTTAATCCTATCAGCCTCTTATGAGCTAAGTACTATTGTATTATGTTGAAAAGGATAAGAACAATAACCATAACCGGAGCCCCATGTATTTATTGAGTTCTTTACCGCCTTGTTAATTAAGGTAAACTTTGTTGCCCCCATATTTTGGCTGGGATAACTTCAGCCCAGTGTCACACAACTGAGTGGCAAAGGCAGAAATAGGACCTACATATCATCCTGAACTCCAAACAGAGTTCTGGGACATACCCTGCGGCTTTTTCTGCTTCCTGCTGAGATTCATACTTTGCCCTCTCAGGGCAGTCCTCCCCACAACACACACTCCATCTAGGTGGGGCACTGTGTGGCCTTCTGTGGACCTGGCCTTCACCAGCTTGACTTTGAACAAACTGCAGGCTCTTCACCAGCACAGAATCAGCAGGTATGGCGGGCGTGGAGCAGCATGAAGGAAGCATCCAGGTGCAGGGCCAGAAGCTCTTCTTCCGTGAGGCACTACCAGGGGGTGGGCAGGCTGCCCGCTTCTCTGTGCTGCTGCTGCATGGCATCCGTTTCTCCTCTGAGACCTGGCACAACCTGGGCACCCTGCACAGCCTGGCCCAGGCTGGATACCGGGCTGTGGCCATTGACCTGCCAGGTACTGCCCTGAGTGGGCTTTCCTACAGGGGTTGGAGATCCAGATCACTGTGTGTGGTGGCTGGGAGCTGAGGGATGGGTAAAACCCAGCCGGCTGGGCTCTGCAGTCTTGGTAGAACATGGTGTACCCTGCAAGGGCCTTTAAACCTCTCATCTTGGTCCGATATTATGGGACAATTCCCAGCTCTTCCTCACTGTGTTATACAAGGCAGTGTCTCTGTCTCTGAACCTCTGCTTCCTCATCTGTGATGGGAGATAAGCACATTCATTTTCTAGATTGGCCCTAGTGAGAATGGAATGTACTAATCCATGTGTGTCTGTTGCCAGTACTTGATACATAATAATCCTTGCTCAACAAGTGGAAGTAAAATATTTTGACAGAGTCCTAAATCATAGACTGTTGGAAGCCCAGAGAAGCTTGACTGGGTCTCCCAGTAGCTTGAGAGGTAGGTAGAACAAGGTCTGGTGGGTGCCCATGATCCCACTTGCAAAAAGCCTTGAGCTTTGAGCAGATTGGGGCAGCCCCCAATCTGATGAGGCTTAAGTATGGAATGGGCAGCCTGGTTGACCTAATCCCCTTTGCCAGCTATGGCTGGTATGGTTTCCAGGCCCAAAGGTGGGTCTCCAGCCTGGCCTGATTGGTTCACACAGTGAGCTGGATTTAACTTCAGGGGGAAGGTCTTAAGCTAATCATGCAGGGAAGGCTGGGACTGATTGATTGGAGGGGGAGGTGTGGATGCAGAGTCAACTCCTCTGCCAGCATACTTGAAGTACCCGTTTCAAACCAGTCCAGCACCAAACAAACAAACAAAAAAGACAAAACATCAAAAAACCCAACCCCCCTCCCATCCAGTTGATTCTGACTCATATCGACCCTATCTGACTAAGTAGAACCATTCCTTAGGGTTTCCAAGCCTGTACATCTTTACAGGGCGCAGACAGCCTTATCTTTCTCCTGCAGAATGGCTGGTAGGCTTGCTCTGCCAACCTTGCAGTTAGCATCCCAGTATTTAACCCACTACACTACCAGTACCTCTTTATCCCCTTTTAACAGATGAGGAAACCAAGGAGCAGAGAGAAAGAGCCATCTGGTCACAGGGGAAGTGGAGAAATGGATTTGGACTTAGCCTTTTCAGATTTCAGAACCTGTTTTTTCCTAGGACACTGTACTGCTAAGCAAGATGGGACCCAAATGTAGAGAGAAATATTTCACACTTATCTTAGATATGACAGATCTTGGCCATTGTAAGAATACACTCATGCGATCTGGGTATTGCATGATCTGGACATGGAGAGATTGACCCAAGAGGGCTTTTAGGCCAAGGGGACCTTCTCTCCCATTTTTTCTAGATCACTGTCTTTGTCTTGTCTCTCTCCCACCCAAATCTCTGTAGGTCTGGGGCACTCCAAGGAAGCAGCAGCCCCTGCTCCTATCGGGGAACTTGCCCCTGGCAGCTTCCTATCTGCTGTGGTAGATGCCTTGAAGCTGGGTCCCCCAGTTGTGATCAGCCCATCATTGAGTGGCATGTACTCCCTGCCATTCCTCACAGCCCCTGGCTCCCAGGTCCGGGGCTACGTGCCCGTGGCCCCCATCTGCACTGACAAAATCAAAGCTGCTGACTATGCCAATGTGAAGGTACTTAGTGTGGAAGGCTGAAATGCACCTGCCAAGAGCAAGGAAGGGTCCATTCTGGGGACTGCTTTTGGTCTGGGGGCTGGGTCACCAAGGAACGGGAGGAAGAAACTAAACAACCAAAAGTCTACCCTTTTGGTTCAGTTAGCAGCAAATGCTTGTTCCAGCTCTTGTGCTAAGCTGTGTGTTGGGGCAGACAGGAGTTGGGGGTCTCTTCCCCCACCCAGTGGGCTAGCTTGCCTATCAGCATTAGAGGTAACCTTGGGAGAGACTGAAGAGATGGGGAGGGCTGAGCTGACCTCCAGGAGGCTGGGTTGTTGTGACAGGTCCTTGTTGACATTGTTCCTCTTTCCTTTCTCTCAGACCCCAGCTCTGATTGTATATGGAGACCAGGACCCCATGGGCCAGACCAGCTTTGAGCATCTGAAGAAGCTGCCTAACCACCGGGTCCTCATTATGGAGGGGGCAGGGCACCCATGTTACCTGGACCAACCTGAAGAGTGGCATGCAGGGCTTCTGGATTTCCTGCAGAGTCTGGCATGAGGGGTGGACCACCTGCCTGCTTTGGGCTCTCTCTCTCTTCCCTTCCACGTCCTTGACTCATGCACATGTAACAGGTGTGTGTGTGTTGTCTGTCTGTTCATCTGGGTTGTCTTTTGTGGTCTGTTTTTCTCTCTTCCTCTTTCAGTGACAATCAGAGAAGGTGAAAGAAACCAAGAGAAAGAGCTCTGGAATCAAGGGACACAAGTCTGGTGGAGGGTAATCAATTTGAGGCTTTCCAGCTCAGCTTTCCCTCCTTCTTCTCTGTTCTGGCCAGTCTCCTGCCCCGCTGCCACTGCCCTGTAGGCTACTCACCACCAGTGCTTAGACTTCAGATACATACAT